GAGTATTCGTACCGCCCACCGCAACTTGTGTGACTTCTCCTCTGACAGACATGACTTGCAGGTGTCCGCCGCCAAGGATGCGAACCACTTCCCTCACCCAGAGGAGGTTAACCCGCGGAGGCCGATTGATTCATACATCCATTACGGCCTTGGCCCGCACTCTTGTCTGGGGCGCGATGTAAGCCAGGTTGCTCTTACAGAGATGTTCAGAGCGCTCTTCCGGAAGACGAATGTCAGGCGCGTGCCGGGGCCCCAGGGACTATTAAAGAAGGTGCCAAGGCCTGGCGGTTTCTTTGTGTACTTGAAAGAGGATTGGGGCCAGATTTGGCCGTTCCCAGTTACCATGAAGGTTATGTGGGACGACGAATGAGTTGCGTCGTCTACGGATACTCTACGGATACTATAGATCTGTGTTCCATGATACGACTCGGCGACGGATAGCTTGCCGACCGTGGAGAACGGAATCGAACTTTCCAATCAGGTTTCTTTTCACATGAATCAGTCAGCAACATTGAATTTTTGTTGAATGGAATGAAGTTCCCGTTGCTGTGAAAAACCGGGCTGCTTCAGCTGAGGCCGACCCTTCTCGGAAAGTATCCGTGGACCAGCGTCACAAGTATCGGCATCTCCACCTGGCACCCCTGCATCGCCCTGGGGATTGAAGGGGGACTGGCGAAGACCAGTATTAGGGGCATTCTCTGTTTCGCCAGCACGCAAGAATAGTATGGAACCGCCAGTGGGCACATCATCCCTTAACAGTACAGCCGCAGTGAGCAGGCGGTAAGACACATATTTTTGGCAAGCTTGTCAGGTGCATTATGGGAATTAGGCGTATCTTAGGTAGCAGAGAGTGTCGTTGTCTTATTCGTGAACAAGTATCCCTGAGTACGCATGCGATACTAGGTAAGGGAGGAAAGCGACTGCCCAACGCCGAGACAAATGCCGCGCGGCTTTGGAGTAGTCGTGAATTTTTGATTGAGGCTTCAAAATGTCCTGACTTCTAACTTGGTACTGAATCTGTCGGTGATATTTGGTGGTGTTCTTGCGGTGCTTAATGAGGAGGTGCAGTTGTATTGGATTGCTTGTGTTCCTCTTTCGTTGGTCGTGCGGACAGCGGCGGAACTTCAAGACTTTGCATGGAAGCCAAGACTTCAGATCTGCTGGGGCCAGATGGGGTCATTTGGCCAGGTAGATGGAAATCCCAGTTTCTGGATGTATCCGTTCGTGGCACCCAGCATATCCGCCTGGAGGGGTCAGCAGTGAGGGGCCGACGCACGCAGCACGTAGCATCGGAAATTAAGGAGACACAAAGGCGGTGGCCCCAGCGTGCCTGGCGGTTGACAGGTTGAACAATCTTGGAACAACTTGACAGCCACTTTGCGAATGAGCAGCCCGTACTGTTGGGCTGAGCTGACCAAATCATGCGCGCGCGGCCCATGGCACCCACTCCCACGAACACACAAGTCTATTTCCAACCATTTTCCCGGCCTCTCCCTTGAAATGCGTGGGTGCCTCTCCGTGAGAAAGGATCAATACCAAAAGAGCAAAAGTGAGACTAAGAGAGAATCCCTGATTGGGGCAGTGGGATGCCGGAGGTGGGTAAGTGTTTTCCCCCCCATATCCCCCTTTCTGCTATCATCTCTTTGTAACAACCGCAGTGCAATTGGATAAGAGGAGTCGAGGACTGCTTTTGGGTCATTCTTGGACCTCGGACGATGGAACCCCCACTTGCGGCCCTGATGTTCGCCAGTGATGTTTGGTTGCGTTTATTAACTTCGGACGGCGTTCGCGTTTTTTCTGTTTCGCATAGCCAGACAACCCTGCCGTTTTAATATATCTGGGGTACAGCAACCAACCGCGATATCCACTCAAGCGCGTGGACCATCGAAGACCTTACGGATGGAAGAGGACGAGAAAAAAATTAGAGTGGGAAAAGTCTAGACGCCCCTAGCTGGGTGAGGGTCAGCCTCGCAGACCCATGTTCATCCCAGGGGGCCATGTGTTGCAAGCGCATCGCCCAGCCTGTCATGTCGTAGAAGGCACTTAATCCCGGGCCGTAGCACCGGCACTGCTTGCCTAGCTCGGCCGGGTCTGGATCGTGCTCCGGGATGGCCCTCCGAGCGGACGTCACCCGACGGGGCTCGCTCTTCTATCCGAATGACTCGTTTTACTATTGAACATTCCCCTATTCGCTCAAGGGCGTCAATGGCGGTGGCTCTTCTCTCCATCGTCAGGCGATGATACTAACCTACATCACTATATCCACGCTGCCGGGTCCCGACAATTCCCACAATCTTGGCCGGAGCAATGCGGATCTACTCCGTACAACATCAGATGCATTTTGCTGACCCCCCTCCGAATGGGGCTGGAAACTGGGGGTAGCCATGGCACCTCGAAGCCGTCTGTCCCGATTTGGGTCTTGCATAGCCATGGGTTGTTGCTGAAGGCAAGACATATAATGGTTGGCACACCTCCTCTAACACTGTCTTCCTCTTCTTGGCCCTTCTCTCCAACAACTTCATTTCTGTTCCCATTTGCGCTGGTTGCTCTTCCACTTTCTTTTGCCCATCTGCGACGGGTGTACACTCTCTTTGACACTCTCGTGTTCCATTCATTTCCCACCAGACGCATTTTCCGCATACCGACGACAGGTTCACACATTCACTTCTAGGCCATCAAACCTCGCAATCATCCACCATGTTCAAGTCCCTTCTCACTACGGGGCTCTTCGCTGCGGCTGCCGTAGCCCAGCAGACAACCTCATATGTCGACTCCGCAACTGGCATCACCTTCCAGAGATACACCGAAACCTCTGGATTCTCGTTCGGTGTCGCCCTGCCTTCGACTGTTGGCAAGGACTTTATCGGCCAGATCTCTGCTCCCATCACCGCAGGATGGGCCTCCGTCTCTCTGGGCGGTCCCATGACTAACAAGCTCCTTGTTGTTGCGTGGCCCAACGGAGACTCTATCCAGACTTCCATCCGCAAAGCGTCAGGATACTCGAACCCCGACGTTGTGACCGACTCCGGCATCACTCTCAAGCCTATTGAGTCTGGCACCTCCGTCAACGCCACTGCCTTCACTTACACCTTTGTGTGCGAGGGATGCATTACCGGTGACACTACCACCTTCACTGGCACCTCTGATACCACCACCTTTGGCTGGGCTTACTCGACCACTGCCCTCTCCGACACCACGAGCGCTTCCGTCGCTCTCAACTACCACGGTGCTGGATTTGGTCTTTTCGGTGCAAACCTCGCCTCTGCCAAGTCCGCTGATTACGCGACTTGGGCCGCGAAGGCTTCTGATGCCGTCTCCACTCCCGGCACTGGCAACGGAACTTCCCCGTCCGTCCCCGCTAACATCACCACCACGATTTCCAACACTACCTACGATTACATCGTCGCCGGTGGCGGTGCCGCTGGTCTTATTGTTGCCGAGCGTCTGGCCGAGTCCGGAAAGAGCGTCCTTCTCCTTGAGCGCGGAGGAGCTTCTTTGGCGTCCAGCGGTGGCAAGGCTACTGTCGACTGGAACAGCACTGTCACCCAGTACGATGTCCCTGCCATGGGCTACTACCTCTCGACCGCCAAGGAGACCAACGAGTACTGCACGGACACCGCTTCCCAGGCTGGCTGCATTCTCGGCGGCTCTACCATGGTCAATGCCATGATGTGGGTTAAGCCTCCCGCGCACGACTTCGACGACAAGTGGCCCACGGGCTGGAAGTGGAGCAGCGTTGAGGAGTCTGCCAACAAGCTCTACGAGAGAACCCCGGGAACTATTCTCGCCAGCAAGGACGGAAAGCGGTACGACCAGGGCGCCTACGATGTCATGTCCCAGTGGCTGGCCGGCAACGGCTTCAGCGAGGTCGATGCTCTTGCCGAGCCCGATAAGAAGCAGGCAGTCTTCACCCACCCTCCCTGGTTGATTGAGAACGGTATGCGCGGCGGTCCCGTCCGTGACTACCTGCCCCTTGCCCAGGCTTTGCCCAACTTCAAGCTGCAGCTTAACGCCAAGGTCATCCGTGCCATCCGCAACGGTACCACCATCTCTGGTGTCGAGATTGAGACTGCTACCAACGTTCGCCAGATCATCAACCTGAAGTCCGGCGGCGCCGCCATCCTGGCTGCTGGTGCTCTCTCTTCCCCTCGTATCCTGTTCAACAGCGGTATCGGTCCCAAGGAGCAGATCCAGACTGTTCAGAACGGAACCGCTCAGGTCACCCTCCCCGCTGAGGCCCAATGGATCGACCTTCCCGTCGGCCAGAACCTCAAGGACCACCCCATCTTCACCGTCAACTTCAAGACCAAGTCCACTCTCAACTCCCTGGCCAGCACTGCCTTCACCGCCCCTAGCCAGACCGACGTCGACCAATTCGCTCAGGGATCCGGACTTCTGAGCCAGGCTGGACAGCGCCTGAACTTCTGGACCAGTGTCGAGGGCTCTGACGGTGGCAAGAGATACGTCCAGGGCACTGTCAACTCTCCTGCCAACGACACCATCCGCGTCAAGGTCTACCTTACCCACGGTCTCACCTCCGTCGGCGCTCTCGGCATTTCTGCCGACGGCTCCACCAAGCTCACCACCGAACCCTACCTTACCGCTACTGAGGACAAGGAGGCTATCACCAGCTTCATGAACCAGCTTATCCAGTACGCCTCCAAGTCCAACAGCACCCTGACTCTGTCCGGCAACGTCACCGCCGAGAGCCTCATTTCCGAGCACACCACCGGTAGCCACTTTGTCGGCAGCGCTGTCATGGGCTCCACCAACGACGGAAACAGTGTCGTTGATACCAAGACCAAGGTCTGGGGCACTGACAACCTTTATGTCGTCGATGCCTCCATCCACCCTGACTTGCCCACCGGTAACACACAGGCTATTGTCATGGTTGCTGCCGAGCACGCTGCCGCCCAGATCCTTGGAGGAGCTGGAAGCGCTACCAACTCTGGCTCTGAGTCCGGCTCTGGCTCCGGCTCCGGCTCCGGCTCCGGCTCCGGCTCCGGCTCTGGCTCCGGCTCTGGCTCTGGCTCTGGCTCGACTGGTTGCAAGCGTTCTGTCAAGCGCCTCGAACGTCTGCAGCGTTTCCGTCGCGCTCACCACAGCTTCTAGATATGTGGATATGCTCTTTTATGTGTATACTTCTAAGTGTGGAAACTTGCCATTTGTATATAAAAGTAAATAGTACCAAGACTTGATTTTAGCAAAGTCCTCTTGCCATTGTTGATTTATTTCCGCTTTGCATGAATATATTATGTAGCCTGATAGAAAGATGATGTGTACCTGCGTCATTTTAAGCTTCGGCGAATATGAGTGATGTTGATGATTAACCCCAAGTCCGTAGAATGCACAAAATAAAAGAAAACACATACTTCTTAGATCAGCCGCCCCTTTCCGAGCAATAATCTTACGTTATCAAACGGGGCTCTTGAACCAAATAAGGCTGGACTCCAATCCTACACCAGTGTGGTAAAGTTATACGTAAGCCGTGTCCAGATTAGTTGACGCTTCGATCTCTGCGATTATTGATAAAGCAAAGATATCTGGGGCACACAGTGACTCTTTGGGGATTTGAAATGTTGATTGGCAAGAGTGCTTTTTCTGAAGGCGGCTACTTAGATTTACCAAGCTTACTTGTACTAGGCGAGCGGGGACTATGCATAAGTATAGATTGGTTAATGGGCGGGGAGAGATGATAAGTCGGTCTACCTTATGTAAGAGGCCAGGAAATTTAGGCATCCCTAAGTCCACGGTAACGAGGCATCACGTGTATCATGGCAGTGTTCGGGACAGATGTTCCCTTTACTTATCATCGCGGGGTGCATCATGATTGATGCACAATAATAGTGGTCGGGGCGGGTATTTGTAGGTAACTTCTTTAAAAGTGACGAGTGATATGGGCCCTTAATCCTTTGTGCCAGTGCTCTTCAATTCTACAATAACGTAATCCGCAGACTTTCGGAGCTCCTATGAACAACATCCCCGAGCGTGAGAAAAGAGAATTCGTTCGGCGAGCCTCCATCCGGACGTTTCTAGATGTGTACTCGTATTCGGGAGAAAGACAGTCATCTGGAAAAGGAGCAGCCGTTCCGCTAGACCCCATTTTCTAATAAACTGTGGAAAAATGTGTCAGAGCGGCAAAGATACCATGCAGCCAACAGGTAACTTATCCGCGTCGACCGTTGAGGCTCACATGATGCCTGCGAGTTGCCATCTCATTGTGGGGTCTCATCTCGTATTTGAGGGCGTGCAACGTAGGTAGACGAATAGGATTTAGTACGCTCGAAGAAAGAATTTCTGAGAGCCGATTGCTACGTGAAATTGCCTACGTCTCTCTTACTATCGTTCCGGCAGGCTTAGTCCTGAAGAAGATCAAGCTTGGCAGGTGGGACATGCAAGGGTACAACCGAGCATACCAATCACGACAAAGAATCGATGATACAATCAGTAGGACATAGCCTCACTGTAGAGGTCTCACAAGCTTCGTTTCCAGAAGGCAAACATGTAAGACTGAGTTTACACGTGTGTTACGAGCGATGGTGCCCAACGGAGGTGAGAAGCATCCACGTACGGCCTACGGACTCGGAGGTCGAAGGTTTCTCAAGACCGATGATCCGTACTTCGCTAGAAGGAATCTAGTACATGCTTCGAGGAACTAAATCCATCAAGATGCCGGCTTGAGCGGTGTGTCCTAAATCCCACCGGAGAACCAAGGAAGCTTTCAGTCCACTTTCCCCAAACAATTCATTCTCAATCACGGATGCAAACAGCATTAGGTATCCAGGTCCAGACTTGTGTGACATATTCTGCCCGTATCTTCTTGCTCTAAGTTTGATTATAAAACCTTCGTCCATGAATCCAGTCTTTTGGGCATTGATTTTAGTATACCACAGTACTTCTCTATATGTGGTGTTCATCGGGTACTAAATGACGGTACAACGGCCACGCCTTCATCTCTATCTTTGGTCTCTGTGACATGAGCTATAAGCATGGAACAGATACTTTTTTCTATTTCGCGCTTACTCAGTTTAATAAGATGCCGATCGCTTACTAGCAGAGGCACAGCTGGCGGCCTGCTGGCCTGCTTACATCTAGCGCTTACACGTAGTACCATTGCACCAAGCTTTGAAAAGAAACTAAAGCTTGGCTTAGAAGAACCTCTCCGTAGGACGTTACTCAATTTTCCGTAGGACACGGAGAAGCTTCAGAAGGTTCATTATAATGCAAGTTTAAGAGTATATAAAGGCTATCCTGAATACTGTATTATCACTACTGACAACTCCATCTCATCCGTCTTCATAAGTCTCTTATTCCATAACAACAACTTTGTCACTTTCACAAGAATTATACTTGCTTCTTTGCCCGCAATGAAGGTCACTCTATTCGCTGTCACTCTCCTTGCTTCGCTGGCATCCGCCCGAGAATTTGTTCTCTTTGATGATGCCAACTACAATGGAGCTTCTCATAGGGAGATACGTAATACCGATGGCGCCTGCTGTAAGTAGCGTCCATTATCAGATCCGTGAACTCGACGCTCAAGAAAAGCATAGGGAATCTCAACGGCAAAGGCGATCGAGCAAGTTCTGTTGGAGGCGACGGAGGATGTACTACCTTCTTCCGGTGAGAATTCTCTTCGTCATTCCACCTAGATGGCTTACCTGCTGACATTATATTAGAGAGCGTGACTGCAGGGGGTCCAGCTGGCAGCAGCGCGGTTCTGCACCCACTGTTCCAGGCTTCCTTAATGATCACATCTGGTCATTTCGTAACCAGTGCTAATTGGTCGTCACCTCAAGTCTAGAAACAGATCTGGGCTACTTGCCCTCTGTGATCTTTCTACGAGGATCAACAAGCATCTGGCACACGAATACGAAGATATCTCTGTTCATAAGAATGGAAGAGGGAAGGAAATGCATGTTCTGAGTCATTTCATGTCTCCAACTTCGCACAGATCCGCTGCGATTAGTGTTACCAACAAAGCCCGTTATCAGCTGCCTGTAACGCAAGAACCACAGCTTGTACTACGTCCATCGGACTTTGAAATAGCACTCATCGTATGTCAATAAGAACTTTGAACCGGGAACGATGCCTTGCAACTTCAGCATTGTGATATTGTGATCCATTGCTTGTTTGAAGGGTTGATTCGACAAAGTGTTTGTTTCTGAAGGTCGCTAGATTCATTGAGCTCATTCATACATTGAAGATGGCCAGATTGCGCGAGCACCTGTGCTCATTGCCCATCGAAAGATTCTTGCTTGGTATAATCTGTGGTCTGTCACTCGTGTGTGTCCAATGAGTGGACTTCTGTGTATGAATCTATCTATTTGCGGGCAAAGCACAAGTCAGACGCAAATACTAAGCATCTCTAGCCCCCTAAACTTCCAAGGTCTCTCAATGCGGAGAATGTAAAACCGTTAGCCCGCTTGCGATGTGCAATGTTAGAGGAATTGGTTGGAGATGTGCAACGAATATGTAAACGCCCCCCTTTGTCTCACTGTGATCAAGGACGTCTGCCTCGAGTCCTACTCTTTTTCTATGCGCTCTTGCAACCGCACATGGCGACATTCTTTCTCTCAACCCGGCCACGGGTATGGCAGCTCACCAGATAATGCGCCTACTGACGTAACGCAGCTACATCTTGTTTACCCGGCCGTTCAACAATATCACTCCGTCAGCACTCGCTGCACCCACTCCAGTTTGGCCGCGATAGCCCGGCGTCCCAACCACGAATCTGGTGCCATCTCGTCAAAACCGTGGAAACCGCCCGCCCACACGTGCAGGTCTGCCGAGACCCCGGCCGACCAGAGCCGCGACGCGAATTCCACTGCCTCATCACGGCAGAACTCGGCGGACCCCGCTTCAATGTACGCGGGTGGTAACCCCACCAGTGTCTCGGCCCGCGCAGGCGCCCAGTATGAGCTCACAGTGTCGCCGGCCCGGGCTCGGGCCCCGGCGCGCTCGCCCAGCGCGATGGCCCACGCCGCCGCGTTCTTAGTCCGGTCCCACGGCTCTACGCCGTCATCGAACTGCGCGCAGCTAATGGACTTGCAGCGGTCGTCGAGCATTGGACAAGGCAGCATCTGCGCGTGCACCGGAGGGTTAAGCCCCGCGTCGCGCGCCCGCAGCGCGAGCCCGGCCGCCAGCCCGCTGCCTGCCGACTGCCCGGCCACCAGGATACGTGCAGCATTAATGCCTAGTACGCCTGCTGATGCCTGTACCCATTTCAGTGCCGCGAAGCAGTCATCCGACGCCGCCGGCTGCGGATGCTCCGGCGCGCGGCGGTACTCGACGCTTATGAGCACGGCGCCTGCGGCCACAGCCCAGTCCAGCGGCTGCGAGAGTCCGACGAGGCGGTGGAGGAAAATAAGACCACCGCCGTGCGCGTAAAAGATGCAGGGCCACCGCTTCTTATCATCCACTGGGGCCGTGTTGGGCGTGAAGATGGAGAGCGCGATGGGAGGGTCATTCAGGCCGAGGCCGGGGGCCGTGTGCTCGGCGTACGTAAGGGGCCGGTCGCCTATGGCTTCCGCGGCGGCAATGTGTGGGGCTTCCAAGGTACGGTCGGTGCGCGCATGGTGATTGATGACGAACTCTGGGGTAATGGGGCCGAACGGCTCAAAGGCAGCTTGAATGGGCGCGAGCTCCGGGTCAAAAGGGGGTCGGGGCAGCCGCATGATGAAGTGTATTTTATGGGTGGGAGAGGGATGGAATAGGATGAAGAGAGTGTGTAAGTGAGCCGCGAGTTTGCGTACCTTAAATATTGGTTAAGGAGAGAGGAGAGACAACGGGACAATTTAAGTGAAGAACTTGGAACCGCAGTGATCAAGGTGAATAACGAAAATATCCCTAGATGCTTGGCGAGGAGGCATCGTCTGTATCTTGGCGTCATTCGTAACAGATACTGTCTTTGCGAATCCTTCACAACAGGCGACTTGGAGTTGACGGTCATGGTGACAGTGGTCGAGATCGATCTATGTAGGCAAGTACATGCAAGCGGCGAGTGACAGGGATCTCATTCATCTCGCTCTTCCGAGATGGGCAACAGCAAGGGATCTCTGCAGTCCGAAGATCCGTTTAGAAATACCCCTCTTGGGGCGTATTCCCATGAATATTCTCACAGTGAACGGCACCGTGTACTATCAGGACCCCGTTCTGATGCAGTCATGCAGTCATGCAGTATATCCTGGCCTGACCTACCGAAGTGCGGTGGAGGCAAAGTGGACATTCCTACCTACTTAGGAAAGAGGAGGGGAGGGGCGTGAGAGTTGTGTTGGACAGCCAGACTTGACCCCGGCATGTCAACGTGGACGCAATTGAAAGCACTCACAATTTGGTTTTCTGCGAAGTTGATGAGAATACATCAGCAGTAAGCCATAGGCCAGCGATGACTTCAAGTATAGATATTGGCAGACCGCAGTTAAATAGGCAAGTTGACTCATTCATTCATTCGATTTACCTTACTTCACTGAACATCATCAAGATTGCCCATCTTACTTATCAGCCAAGTGATTTTCTTTTTTCTTTCTATCTAACGCATTTTCTCCCAAGACTTCACTTATTACTCCAAACGATGTCCCTTCCCCCTATTCCTCAGCTTGATCCTGCTACCTTTCGCTGGCACCCGTCGCCTGATGACCCCCGAGCCGTACGGCGCCTTGGACTCGGCACCGAAGCTTGGGTTGGCTTGCGAGGCCCCAACTCACGCGGGCAATATGATAACTACCTCAATACCACTCTCCGTATCGAAGCTGCCGGTCTTTCCTTGGCCGGCCTTGCGCGGCATCTCGCGGATGCGCTGGTTCATCTCCGGTTTTACCATCCCGAGGTCGCTTGCACCACCGCCTGGGCCTCCGAGTACGGACCCCCGCACATCATCTACACCCCTCCGACGTGCGACGCCGAAGCCTTGCGATGGGCGCGGGCCGCCGTTACCGCAAAGTCCACGTCCCGGACCGGGCTGCAAGTCGCGGCCCAGATCGGCAAGCAGCGCCAGATCGATCCCGCCAAGTCCCTCTCGCCCGTGACGCTCGTGGTCGTGGCTGACGTGCAAAACGAGGAGGCGTTGCTGGCAGCCGGTGCACGCGTGGACGTCCTTGGCGTCTTCAATCACATCCACTGGGACAGCATCAGCGCGCGTGTCTTCGTGGGGGACCTGCTGCGCCGCCTTGGAGAGCAGCTGGGTGCCAGTAAGGCAGAGACGGCGTCGTCGCAGTACGCGTGGGGTAGCGAGATTGCGAACCTGAACGTGCCCGTTCTTGATGCGTGCAAGGTTGATGTCGGCGCTCTAGGCGAGGACTACAAAAAGACGCGGGACGAGTTCATCGCAGCCCTCCTCAAAAGCGGAGTGAGTCTCTTCCTTCAAACCCCTTGCTTTCAAAACAACATCCATCTCTCTCCGCTGCAGTACCACAGCTAATGCCTCAAAGTCCAGCTGGGGCCTACCTGTTGCTGCTGACACCGGCGCACCTCGCACAATATGGCGCACATTCACCGTCGAGCAGAGCGCTGCTATCAAGGCCGCCATCAAGAAGCATCTTGGTCCAGATTACACTGTCACTCACCTCGGCCACGCCGCCATGGTCCTTGCCCTGCTCCGTGCCCGGCCTCTCCCCGCCGACGCCCCGGACACCGTCGCCCTCGCCTCGCCGCTGCCCGTTAACGGCAGACGTTACCTCCGCGGCGAAGCGGCGCAGCGCTATGGCTCGTGCCAGGCCGGTGCCTCAGTTGAATTCGCACCGCTGCGCGAGTGGGCCGTAGATGAGAGCAATGCCGACGCCGTGCGGGCTACGCTGGGGGCGCTGGCAATGCACGTCAAGGATGGCTACGAGTACTGGCTGCGGAATGAGTTTCAGCTCGCCGTCGACCAGGCCAAGAGCAATTTTCTCGCGAGCGTGCTCGGGTCGTACGTATTTTCCTTTTATGTCAATGTTTGATAACTGGGTGTACCGGCTGATGCGTCTGGTAACTAATTAAGTGCACCACCGTCGTTTCCGCCTACTAGCTTTCCGGTCTGTACCTTGTCCTCCAGCCCATTCTCGTCAGCATGGCGGATCTTTGTATACTGACACCACGCTTCTCTTACAGGTCTTTGCCAGCGACGGCATCGTGGACAAGTACATCCCTAGAGAGGTATTCGGCGCGGGCGAAGAGAAACTCCTGGTTGTGGAAAGCTGCTTGTTTCACCTCGATACTTATCTCTCCGACGTGTGAGTACATGTGTTCCTCATAGTCCTTGAAAGCCCCAACCATTCGGGTTGCGCTTGTTGCCGGCGACATGCTGACCACTACCCCTTGCATAGGCTCGTCAGGATGGACAGCTGGAATGGTGCCACGGGGCTGTCCATCTGCTTCAATGATGGCCGCTTGAACGCGACCCTTGCAGATCAATTTCTTGGCTACATTGCGGAATTCATGCTGAAGTTCGCGGAGCAGTAATTGGAGCTTATCTTACATGCAACGTTGTCGAAAGAAGGTGATGGCGCTGGCCGGTGTGAGATGCCGGACACTATCGTCTTAGACATGTAGAATAGACAAGAGCATAAAATAACCAAATAAGCTTGTTTTAGTTAAAATTGTCTATGGAGATGTAATGTCTAGATTGGAGGGCCCATCCCTAAGCAAATCGAAGAACGTCAATGAGAAGGTTGGTAGGAGAAATCTCCCAAGCTAGCTCAAGGCGGTAGCATAATATCATCGGCTTCTCAGGAAACGTGCATGAATTCAAAGTGACATTTGGATTCAAGTTCGCAAATCATCTTCCGTTGTTTTTCTTTTCAATTTTCTTCTTGAAGTACTAAAATCCAATTCGTTGCATTAAAGAGCACGCATCAATCTATATAACACGACAGTTAACATCCAGTTCTAGCGCAAGACTCCACGAGAGAATGATAAAATGCCCGAACTGTTGACGAAAAATATTATCCACTTTTTTCATGAAAAGAATCAAAACTTATTACCCCTCCGAACCATCTTCTGATTTCGCCGCGTCTTTTATTATCCTTTGAACGACCACTTCCAGCTCCCGGACAAGTTCCTCCAGCCTTTCCAGGCTAAAGTTGACTGTGTTGGCGCTGTACCATAGGTTCCATGTCTCAGTCTCTGGGTCCGGCCGCGCGATGAGCCACACCTCCTCCGAGTGATCCCACACCTTGTCCGGTCCGAACCAGCCGAGCTCTTGACAGCACTCGCCGTCGCCCATCAGATCCACCGTGAAAGGCTCCGGGTTCTGAAATTGTAGAATGTACGTCGACCGACGTTCCTCGGGCTGCCACGACGCTGCGGGCGTGCAGGCCTCGAACAGCGGCGCGACCGTGCTCGTCTCGAAGCCGAGCACGTCGAGCTGCGCCTGCCGCGTTGCCTCGAGCGTGCCTTTAAATGTCTTGTGAGCATCGAGTCGCACGCGCAGAGGCACCATGTTAACGGTTGGGCCGACGACGTTGGCCAGCGCGGGCGGAAGTGTGGAGCGGCCCGACACTGTCATGGTCGTCACCACGTCGTCAGTATCGCGCAGCTGAGCGAGTGCCTGCACACATGCCGCGACGTAAAGATTCGCCGCTGTGAAGCCATCGAACGCAGGCGGCGCCTGGATGGCGCGCTTGATACACACAATCTCAGCGGGCTGCCCCGTAGGGGTCAACGCGAGAGGCCTCGAACCACAAAGCACCTCGCGCCAGTGAGCTAGCATCCTATCCTCTGCCTCGCGCACGCAGTCAATGAAGCCCGAGAAGCGCGCCATGGGTGCCAAAGCCTTGCCCTGAAGGCTGGCCGCGAAGCAGTCGAGGATGGGCGTCAAGCTAGTGCGGTCGAAATGGGCGTGAGAAAGCCGGAGGCCCCAGCGCGTTGACTGACCCGCACCGTGCAGCACGTAGAACCGCGTGTAGAGGGACCCCGGAACCATGGCAGGCTGGAGGGCGGCGTGAAAGACTTCCGTGGCGAAGCCATCCATGTCCTGGTCGTCACCAATCTGGTGTCGTTCGACCGACGCCGCCGACTTTCGTGGGATCACCTGCAACATCCTCTCGCCAGGCGTCACGAACACGGCGGCCAGGATGCTGAGGTGGTCCCAGACCTTTTGGCAGCACTCCTCTATCGTGTCGAGGGAGACGCGCTCGGGGACGTCTACGTGGATCATGAAGCACCCCTGTGCCGGATCGTACATGGCCGCGTCGGCGCACATGGCCTGGGTGGCTGTCGTCGGCATGACATCCTGGATTTCCTTGAGCGGGAACTCGACGGCCGGCGCAATCGTCTCTCTGATGAAAACACCGAGTTCTTGTCCTGCCAGGTCATCCTGGGAGAGCAGGGTGAACGGCTGTGGCTCCGAGCACGCCGACTGTTTCTTCTGCACCATCTCGACCCGCTTCGCCATGTCGCTGAGGCGCGGACTCTGGAAGATGTCGGCCACAGTCAGGCGCATGTCGTGCTCGTGGGCTAGAGCTACTATGCGCATGGCCTGAATGGAGTCGCCGCCAACGACAAAGAAGTTGCTCTCCGCGCTGATCTTTGATATCTCTGTCTGGTTGAGTACCCGCGCCCAGAGTTCCCTGAGTTGCATCTCCTCCGGAGTGGACGGTTCCCTCGAGGTGATGCCCGAGTGAGTCTCGTGTAGAGCGACCAGCTGATCCCGCGTCATCGCGGCTCCCATCTCGCGCAGGCGCTTGCGGTCTGTCTTGCCTGTCATCGTGAGCGGGATTTGCTTGAGTGGAATGTAAGCCGTAGGCACGAGGTGTGCGGGAAGCGCGCGGGCCAAGTCCTTGCTAGGCTCCCCAACCACCAAAGAGGCGAGGGTATCATCCAGAGACGTCTCGCCAGGGGATGAGAGGGCAACGTAGGCCACGAGGATGGGCTCCTGGCCTTCCGGCTTGATGACCTCGGCAACCAAGGTGACGGTCTCGCACCGTCTGGCCATGACGCGGTGGAGGTGGTGCTCAATGTCTTCCAGCTCGACTCTCTGGCCACGGATCTTGACCTGTGTGTCTTTGCGTCCGACAAATACTAGAGGTCCGTCATCGAGCTGCCGCACAAGATCGCCAGTTCTGTAAAGACGTCCCTGACGGCCCGGGACACCGCCCCCTCCCCTTACAAGCCATGATGGGTCGTGGACGAAAGCAGCTGACGTCTTTTCCTTTTCATTCAGGTACCCGGCGCCGACGATGGGGCCCTCAAGCCAGAGCTCTCCCGTGATTCCCGGTGGCATCAATCGGCCGGTGTCCGGGTCTACAACCCAAGTGAGGGAGCCCAGTCCGCTGCCTATGCCGACATTTGGTTGGTCACCGGTCTCCCCGCGCAGAGCCGTCGAGATGGGGGTGCACTCGGCGGGGCCATAGGCTTGCTTGATGACTCCAGGTGTCCAGATCTCGACATCTTCCTTGCGGATCGGCTCGCCCAAGGAAATGAGATTGTTAACGGCCGGGAGTGACGCCGGGTTCAGGAGACGGTGGGTCGTGGCGTTCAGGTTGAGCATGTTGGCTCCCATGTGGTTGATCGAGGCGGACAGGTCGTTCCGCCGATCCTCGTCCAAAGGGATGCAGACGCAACCACCGGCTTCGAGAGTATGAAGCATGTTGAACCAAGCGCCATCAAAGGAGTAGGACGCAAAGTCGTACACGCGAGATGTGGCCTGGTAGCCGAAGAATTTGCCCTGGTAGTGCAGCGCACTCGCGTAGTTGGAGTGAGTGACTTGGGCCCCCTTGGGCAGTCCAGTGCTGCCGGAAGTAAAGACAAGGTACAACAAGCTAGAAGTTGGCACTACGGGAAGAGGCACTGCGACGTCAGCAGCCTCGAGCTCGTCCAGAGTCTGTCGATCCAAGACTATCACCTTCAGTCCGTCGGACGTGCAGAGCCTTGATGGCTCGTCCCTGCGCAGGGCCGAGGCAATCATGACGCTAGGTACGACCTGCTGCACAATTGTTTGCAAGCGCTGCTCTGGTTGTCCCCCGTCCAGCAGGACAGAACATCCTCCGGCCTTCATGACGCCCATCACGGCCACGGGAGTCCACATGGACTTCTCGAAGCAGAGGGGCACAATCATGTTGGGGCCGACTCCGAGTTCGATAAGACGGCGAGCTAGAGTTGATGATAGGGCATCTAATTGTGCGTATGTAAGGTCGCCGTCCCAAGCATGGATAGCTTCTGCCTCGGGCTGTTGATAGACGCGGTCGATTATCATGTCGTGCACACAGCGGTCCACTGTTGGGGGGACTTGAGCGTTCCAGCGCCACATGTCTTTCATATCTTGGGGAGAAGCTACCTCAAGATCAGAAACTTTCAGGGCAAGATTCTCTGCGTCGCTCAACTGCTTCAAGATGTGCTCAAACTGGCCCAGAATCCTGGAGACCCGCTCCTCCTTGATCACAGACGAGTCGAACACGGCATAGATGTGCACGCCATCGACCTCGAGGTAGCAGTAAAGCGTGAGAGCATAAGACTTGGTCTCGTGTACAAAGCCAGAGACGTGAGACATGAGACGGTTCTGCCTCAGCGACAGGTTTTGGCCAACAGGTTGGATCAAGAGGAGCGTCTGTGCTTGGCAAGCATCGCGAGCAGCGCCGGAAACTCGTTTGATGTTCTGAACGCCAAACTGCTCAAATGGAAGCATGTCCACCATCTGCTTCTGTATCGCGTGTAGCATATCATCCACATTCTCATCATTGTGTAGCATCACTCGTACGGGAAGCGGGGCGATGGTTGGCGCCGTCATGCGCTCTACGCCAGCGACATCGGCCTGCCGGCCCGTCAAGGTTGCACCAAAGACGATGTCCTTGGATCCGGAGATCTGAGATTGCAGAATTGCCCAGGCGGTGCGGACAGCTGTTGCGGGTGTGGTGCTGCTGCGAAGCCAGGCGAGGCTCACGAGACGGTCCACGACGGTATCAGCAAGGGGCACCTTCGAGGGGTCGGGGAGCGCAGGGAAGGAAACCGCGCCGTCGCCGCCATCGAATTGGGCTTGCCAGAAATCCTCAGCGGCTGTGTTGTCCTGCTGGAGTACGTGCTTGACGAAACTCTGGAAGGGGGCAAAGACCGGTGACTGGCCGTCGTTGTACACCTGTTCGATCGCGTCCAAGATGAGTGGCGCAGACCAACCGTCATAGAGCGCGTGATGGATTGTCCACACGAAGTATGTCGCTACCTCCCGAGCGCTTTCGCCCAGAGCAAAAAAGGACAAACCTGACCCTAGAGCCTGGCCGGGTTTGTGGCTCTCAAGAGAAGAGATAGAATCCATGTCCAGGACGGGACCCCATTGGAAAGATTCATTGACAACAACTTGAACCAGACCATCGTCGGGGAGACTCACCACTCGGGTGCGCAGAGTCGGTGCCTTGGCTACTACTTCTTCGCACGCTCTCTTGAAGCGAGCTAGATCAGTCGAAGCGGGAAGGCGGTACACGCTGCGTGCAACGTAATCTCCCTCACGCTGAGCAGTCATGGCTAGCAGGCCCTCTTGCAGAGGTGTGCACGGGAAGATATCTTCGATCTGGCTCGGCTCGACATCAGCAAGCTTTGCAGCATACTGTAGCGCCGTACGGCGATCCGTCTCTGGGTTAAGCAGCGACAGTGGAGGGATGGTATCGCCTTCTGGTGCAATCTCCAAACGAGGCTTGAGCGAACGAGCTTGATCTCTCAATTTGGGACTTTGAAAAATTTGCTGAACCGTCAAATCAAGACCTTGACCGCGGGCGAGGCTAACGAGGCGAATGGCTTCAAGTGAACTGCCGCCAATGTAGAAAAAACTGTCGTCGAGACCTAGTTGGCCAGGCTCACGGGCCAGGACGTTGGCCCAAAGCTCTTGTAGTTTGAGTTCCGTCTCCGTCAGGGACTCTTGGCCGGTAGACGGAAGTGAAGGGGAAGGGCCCAGAAGAGTCAACACGCCCAGAGGGAGGTCGGCAGCCAACTCTTGCAGGCGCCGTATGTCAGTCTTCCAAGATGCGTTTCTTGGTATTTGAGACACCGGGATGAACTGCGTCGGAACCATGTAAGAGGGGAGAGCTTTCGACAGTAGTTTATGCGCAGCCTTGACGCTGGCTTGCCATTCATCCGTTCCCAAGAGGTAAAATGCGACAATGCTGTCTTCCTTGGTCTGAACAAGACCGGCACCGTCTCGTAATTGGACGAAAGCTGCGAGACTCTTGGTAGCGCCCAAAACATGGAGTGCGATAACAACCGGGAGGACTGTTGAGGCCTTGGGGAAAGCCTCTTCGAGATGGTGCTGCACCTCGCCGAGTTCGAGACGTTGGCCGCGCAACTTGATCTGCGAGTCCTTGCGGCCGACGAAGCGCACCACGCCGTCGGAATCATACTGAACCAAGTCACCAGTCTTGTAGAAACGCCGAGGCTCGCCCTGACTGTTGTTCTTGTCGCCGCACCAGTCAGGGGCACCGACAAAGAACTGCTCCGTCATCTCAGGCTTGGCCAGATATCCCCGGCCAACATTCGGACCTTCGATCAGGAGTTCACCCACGGAGCCAATAGGCAAAATGACGTGGCGGCTATTGGGGTCCACGATCCACAATCGTGTGCCGAAACCTCTGCCAATGACACCAGCATCGGCCCCCTTCACGTAAACATGACTTGCCGAGGTCACGGCGCACTCCGCAGGACCATAACTGATGATTGTCTCAGCATAATTCGCCCAGCGGGTCAAAAGGTCCTTGGAGGCAACCTCACCACCCAGTATAATGGTCTTGAGGCTAGGCATGTCGATCGGGTTGAGCAGACCGGCTAGGGACGGGGTGATCTTGGCCGACTCGACCTGGAACCGTGCCACGAAGCCGGCAAGGTCGTTCATTCGCTCGTCCTCTGAAGGGACGCAGATGGTGCCTCCGTGGAACAGGGTGCAGAAGATGTCCGAGTTGGCCATGTCAAACGTGTAGGCAGCAAACTGCAGCACACGAAGACCACGCCGAATTCTAAAGGCCCGGCCGTGCTGATGGGCGGTGGCACACATGTGCCTATGCTCTAAAACGATGCCTTTAGGGGTACCTGTGCTACCCGAAGTAAAGACGACGATGCAAGCATTTCTTGGGCTGGCTTTCTTGATATCGAGAGAAGGAAGCGATTGGCGATCTGTGTCTTTGGGCAATGCGAGGAGGTGGTCCTGCGAGATGGGCACCACGTTTTGCACCAGTCCCTCAAAACGGTCAACAGAATCAGGAGATGCCAAAACGATTGTTGCCTGGGTCTGTTGCACAATCTCCTGAATCCTGGTATCAGGATATTCCGGGTCGAGTGCAGTGTAAGCACCTCCGGCTCGAAGAATTGAGAGCATGGCAACGATGGCGAAAGCCGACTTGGGAAAGCAAACTGGCACAATGACCTCCGGCCCTACGCCACACTCTTGAGAGAGGTACTTGGCGAGGCGCGCAGTCGTAGCCTCTAACTCCCCATAGGTGTAAGCCTGATGAGTAGTTAGGATGGCTGGGGTGTTGGGTCGTGAGGTAGCTTGCTTCTCGAAATGCCAATGGAGGCATTCATCATGAGAAGAGTGCTCTGTGCCATTCCACGCAAGGATGGTGTCAAAATCCCTAACGCTACATGCCGCATTCGCTGTCATCTCGATGGCTTTTGTGGATAAAGTTGGCGTGTCTTGAAGTTCTTGGCTATGCGACAACGCCCAAGGGCGTGTCAAGACAGGTTCCGTTTCTACGCCCATGACGATGGTTGATAGTAGCTGAACTGCAAAGTATGGGCAGAAAAGAACGAATGAAGGAGTTGGAGGCTAAAGGACAGATGCAGTTGATGGTGCACGTTGCTGAGAAGAGAAGATAGTTTGTGATGAAGTCAAGGCCTTTCTGGATGGCAGTCTGTGTCTACTATGTATACAAAGTTTACCCGTCGTCGTCGTCGTCGTGTTGGGGAGCACCGTATCTGGGGGCCAAGTTTCCTTCAACACTGCCCATCGCAACTCAATGTCTATCACGCAGCTTGTTTGACCCCTCCCGCGTGTCAGCATGATCCCAATGTTCGCCTGGCGAAGCGATATCTCTCCAGGGCATCGAGCTTCCGAGGTTTGCCTAGTTGTCGATACAGATTCCGGCTAAAGAAACATGATCAACACGGGGGGTGACAGTCCTCGCAAGACTCACGGCTGGCGTGGTTCGAGCACCCGCACTGTATACATTCGGGGGAAAAGATGCCGGCCTGAAGGAAGCTGACGCTGGATTGCACAATCAGTCTAGAACCTCTAACCTTGCCACCTGTAACTGAGATTTCGTTCCATAGAATAGACAAGGGACCTGTCAATATGAAGTTCTAGATCTCCGGAGGCAGGGGTTTCATGCAGCTTACGATCACACCACCGAGATGCAACTAGGCATGCAGGGTCCTATAACCCTGACCCCTGACCCCTGACCCCTGATCCCTGATTTCTTGCCATCTGGGCGTGAAAGTTGGGCGAATTTCTTGTCCCGCCGCGACGACTGAATCGCAAGATCAGGAAAGCATGGGTTTGCTGAGGCTCGAAAGTGACTGATGTTTTGTGTTATCACGACATCTGAAGCAAGCAGCCATTTCGGGCGAACGCGAGATGTGGCCTTGAACACGTCTCACATGGGGTGTAAGATTCCGTCGTGGAATTGCGCAGCTCTGGCCGGGACCTCGAAGCAAAAGTTCCTCCGCGCATCAAGTGCATTCAGGCTACACAGCTTCAGGCTCGTGATAAGTGAAGTGGCGATAGTAGTGAGCTCGTTTGTCAATGCCTTTGATAGGCAATCCGCGATTGCATAGCATAATCACTCATGTAATTTCACTCATCAATCTGAATGGCAATCTCACCACAAGGTGACTCGGTCCCAAACTAGAACATAATCATTTTCCTACTTCAATCTCCCGACCACCATTGCCTTCTATGAGATCTCTGTCTCTGTAGATAATCTTTTTGCACGTTTGAAATTGAAGAAGTATCATGATTGAAGACGCGCTCCTTGCTGCTCTGCAGCAGTTCTTCTCGCCCGAGGGCCTTGGTGTTGTAATTGCACTGGCCTTGAGTGCAATCCTTGGAAGACTCACTATTTTCGCATGCGAGGACAAGAATGACATATCCAGTCTTCCTCTTGTCAACGGCAAGGAATGGTGGCAGTTGACGGCCAAGGAGCAGCGAAAAAGGTTCTGCAACCATGCCAAGGAGATTCTTGATCATGCCCTTCTCAATGTAAGCTACCAATCTCCACTAGGGTAACGGAAAACTAGGGTCGCACAGTATAACTTACAGACTTTGCTAGGTTGGCGACAAGTTCCGTGTGCAAACTGAGAATGGCGTTGAGCTTCTCCTCTCTGCCGACTATGCCAGTGGAATTAAGGACGACGAGGCGCTTGACTTTGGCAAGCACGTGGAGGAGGTGAGCAACTATGGCCAAGACGGATGCTGTGACAAAAGGCTTATTTTGATGTAGGACATGCACACCAATCTGGGTGGTTTTGCTCCTTTTCGCCAAGGACAAACCCGTGACAGAATCTTTCATGACGCTGTCAAGATCAACCTCGTCCAGGATATCGTCAGACTCAATACTCCCCTCTCCGAGGAGGCGAGCCATGCGCTGCAAAAACACTTTACGAATGAAGCAGGTTAGTCGATTTGACGTGTGATGCAATCAGGATGAGAAAATGCTGATGTTCAACGACAGAATGGCACGAGATTCCGCTCAAGATTCTCGCTTTCAAGATCGTCTCCCAGCTGTCTTCCCGAATCTTCCTCGGCGAAGAGCTCTGTCGCAATGATGACTGGCTTCAGGTCACGGTCAACTACACCAGGGACTCAATGCAGGCCGCGCAAGACCTACGCTTATGGCCCAAGTTCCTGCGCCCGCTTGTCTACTGGTATCTGCCCCGGTGCCGAGCCATCAGGCAAGAGCTACAGACGTCTTTCAACATTGTCGATCCGGTCCTTCAAAATCGCCGCCGCGAGAAAGAGAAGCGGGTGAGACAATGCCTTGAACCCGTTCGCCACCTCGATGCGATGCAGTGGATGGAGGACGCGGCCAACGGCCGTCCCTATGACGCCACCGTTGCCCAGATTATGATGGCCATCGCCGCCAACTTTTCGGGGTCAGACTCGTTGAGCACGCTCATGATTTATCTCTGCCAGGACCCCCAGCTGGTCGAGGACATGCGCAAGGAGGTCATTACCGTCTTGTCCGACAACAAGTGGAGCAAGTCTACCCTTTACAAGCTGCGTCTTATGGACAGTGTTCTTAAAGAGAGTCAGCGCATGAAGCCCGCAGCCATTGGTAAGAGAACATATCTATGGGTATTTCTGAATTTTCAAACATTGAGCCACTAACATAGTCCCCCCCAGCTGTCATGCGTCGTATCGCGCTAAAGGACACAATGTTACAAGACGGTACCAAGATCCCCAAAGGCACCAAGCTCATGGTATCCACCTCGAAGTCTTGGGATGCAGACAAGTACCCCAACCCAGAGAAGTTTGACGGCTACCGCTTCCTGCGCATGCGTGAGGAGCAAGGGCTCGAGACGGCACAATTCGTGTCGACGACACCCGATGCCCTGGGCTTCGGCATGGGCAATCATGCGTGCCCGGGCCGTTTCTTCGCCGCCAACGAGCTCAAGATCGCCCTCAGCCACATCCTTCTGAAGTACGACTTCAAGCTGGCTCCGGGCGCTCCCACGGATCCTACGTTCCAGGCTTTGTACTGGTCGGCTAACGACAATGCACGAATTGTGATTCGTCGCCGCAAGGAGGAGATTGAGTTGTAGATGATTTGCATGCTGTACTCGGTGCGACAGGCTCTACGTTTACATGTAGTTCACACCCCACCATATTGAATTCAATGATATAACAGGTTCAAGCAAATGAGCTCTGAGTCGGGTGGTGATTCACGCCAAAAAATAGCCTTACCAGACAGGATAGCAGGACGATCTCGGAAATTTAGAATGAATCAATGCTGTTGAGAACAATTATGCATACTTTGATCCAATGTTGTACGTAACTTCATCGCATTTGGCGAAGATGAACTTGAGGACAGCAACCAGCTTTCACAATAACTTCACAGTTCGTTACTTTACGCGTATGTCTAAATTTGCTGGGTTTATTGGTGTTGTCTTTCATTTCTATACGAAAATTCTTCATTCTGATCTGTAGAGAACGAGCTACGATATCTTAGGGTCCCCATTTTACGTTTCAATTGCGAATGTTTGTGAGAATCTCTGACTATCTCTTTCAATTCATCGGATAACGTGTGAGGAGAAAGGCAATCGCACATTCAGACGATGGTTTACTAGACGTCCGACGGGGAAAGCCGAAGAAATCGCGACAACTCAAAGTACGATGCGAGATGCTGTGTTGTGGCACAGCCGTTAACATTGGCCAGGATTGCTCACAAACGGCCTGCGCTTACAGTACTTTTGGCGAACACTGTTGCATTCCGTCGGCTGAGCTAATACGCATCATGGTGGTCGCACTGATACGGCCAATGAGTGTTGTGAGAATGGCAATAAGCTACGTACTCCGGTCCAACTCGGTCTCCCAGATTAGGTTCCCCAAGGTCTAGAATCCTCTTTTCTGGTCCGGGTCTCTATTCCCATTCCCCTCAAAGTACTTTTGGTTGTGGGACGGACCCTGAAGCTTCGTACTTATCTCCGGAGTGTCTTAAACCCCAGACACCCATCGGGCCCATGCGAAAAGGACCCTGAACATCAGGGTCCAGCCCCATCTGCGAACAGGGCCTACGAGATACATGGGCGGAAACGAACGGTTTACGCCCCTACTTATCACTACTCAGTAAAACACCGACAAGTAGGGTAACAGAGAATGACGCCCGCAAACGGCCTGCCGTTTTGGAATGTCCCTGAAGATCCACCTCACATACCAGTATCCATACTCAGTAGCAGGGGGTAAGCACACATATGCGCACACCCACCCCACACACAATCCATGCGGAGTACAAATGCTTGACCAACGAGTTGCCCTTAATGGGAAGATCTACCGCCCCTGTTATCATATTATCTACTTGTGGAATGTCAGCGCAAAGGCTGTATACCAAGCCGTACTATTCCCAGTGATTACATGGCGCAATATGGTGCAATCAGGTTCGACTGCGTCAGAAGCGGCTTCCTGACATTCTTATTGGCAGATTCCTGGGCTACGTTTCATGAAAACTTGTTTCACCTAGAATACTCGGTGCGACACTGATATGTTGCATACACAGAAAACAGTGCCTTGCGCCTACTATTTCAATGTTATGCAGTAGCAGCGGGTTCGGAAATTCACGGCGCCTATACTAGGTAGTTGCCGCCTCGGCTAGATCGTTAGAGGGTCTCCGCGGCTGATGCGGTGGACTTCCGCCGGCAACGAGTCCACTTGTAAGTGTTCTTCGCTTTGATTACGGTGTGTACTGATAAAGTTGCATTACATCAGAAGGATGACTTGAAGGAGCTGATGCAGAAGTCCACGAGGATTCTACAACACAAGTACTCCCTGCATGCAGCATAAGTCTCGGGTCTCCTAATATGGCGGAGGCCACAACACCAAGTGGTTTCCTGCATGTTCATGTAAGGCAGATGAAAGGGAAAGTAGGTCCAGATCTCCCGTCAACCAGACACGTAGTATGGGCCCGAGTGCAAACAAGGATAGCATGATGCAGTTTATGAGACTCGCCCCCAGGCCTCTTGGTCTAGATCCTGCTTCTCAAGCCCATATCGTATCTCGTGTTTTGTGCCGCAAACAGACCGCAACAGCGCTGATTGAGGGGCTTGCAGGCTTACGAAGTGACCTTTAGGCCGACATAGACGGAGCCACGTGTATGAATTCCGAAACCCTTGCAGAATTAGCAGGATTTGCCCTCTTCTTCACGCAGTTGTAACTTGATGTACATGTACACAACGCATCGCTCCATCTCGTCGGGCTCTTTTTGTGATTTGACCAGGGTATTTTCTTCATGCGCGCCCGGAATACACTCCAAGTCCGAGTGAAGATGTTTTGGTCTAGCCATCCACCTAAGACGGACAGATATCAAACTTGACCAAATACGACAAAGCCTGACCCCCTTGTAGCTAAAGACACGGCCTAGAACCTGTTAGGGGGTAAAACAGGCAACTCCAACACTGCGCAATCTTTATGGATCTTTCCTGTTGCGGGCTTCGGCTTTCTGCGAAGGGCAACGTTGTTATGCGGGTGTAAGCAAGATATTGGCGCTGCGTGATTCATGTTGGGCATTTTCTTCACGGGAGCCAGGCAACACCGGACGTGCGAGATTGTGAACAGTAATACATAGCATGTTATCCGACTGCAAGCTAAAACGGCGACTTCTTGATGTCATATTTGCCCTTTAAGTCTTCCCATTTCCTCATGTTCCAAGTTGTCTTGAAGCTCCAGTCTCTCTTCATCCATTCACCCTCATTGAGTCATTTCCCATTCTATCACAAAAAGGAGGCAGCAGCAAACATCATGGACACCGCAAGCTTTCCTACAGACTGTTATCTTGATGCTGTCGTGAGCTTTCTGAGCATTATCAACTATAACGACACCAATTACACACACCAGGACAGGGTCCGTAATCTACACTATGCTTACGCTAAGGCGGCGAAGCACTTTGCCCAGCCGACGCAGCAGCGTCTGATCAAAGCCAGCCCGAGACGTCTCCAGGCATCTCTTCAGACAATTGTGGCCATGGTAGTCTACGCCTGGGTGCGCGTCGACCCCGAGGTTATGGCAGATCTGAGCATCCACTACACTTATATGCTAGTGCTTGATGACAGCCAAGATGATCCCGACGCAACTATGCAGTCATTCTACCAGGATCTTCTTGCCGGGAAGCCTCAACGGCACCCTTGGTGGCAGATGGTGAACGCGCAGTTCCCAACTGTGCTTAGCCATTACGGTCCGTACTGCGGTTTAAACCTGGTTCGGAGCACGACCGACTGTGAGGAGCCTTGAATGCTCACAATTCTCATGTTCCTGCCCACGAAGCTAAACGAGCCATAGTTTTCCAGGGTTGCTGGATTGAGCAACATAACTTTCAGGGCTTCCCGGGCTCATACGACTTCCCCGGCTTTCTGCGTCGCATGAACGGCCTCGGCCACTGCGTCGGCGCATCCATCTTTCCCAAAGCCCAATTTGACGAAAAGGAGCTCTTTACGGAGATCACGTCTGTCATCTCTCAGATGGAGAACTGGATGGTGTTTGTGAACGACCTACTATCATTCTACAAAGGTACGTTCATTATCTCATCTCCAGTGCAAGCTTGGCATTGATGCAGAGCCGATCATCGTCGGTGGGGTAGAAGCGTGAAGCTTAGACCACAAGCTTGTTTCTCCCCCATGCGATCCGATTCGTTTCCTGCGTGCTCGCCAAGGCACGAGCGGTTTGCCAAGATCGCTCGCTAAATGAATTGCAACCCTCAAGAATTCGATGAGCCGCGTGACCAGACGTCACTCGTCAACAACTACGCCAAGTGCGACCGCATCACGCTGGCCGAGGCGCTGAACAAGCTGACGCGCGACACAATCCGCTGCTCGGAGCAGATCGTTGAGGTCTTTGCCGACAAGGACCCAAGCATCGCCGACACCCTCCAGACTTTCTGCCAGGGCTATGTCACCTGGCACCTGAGCGATCCTCGCTACCTGAGCGATCCTCGCTACCGTCTCCGTGAACTCGTCACTAGCGCTGCTGGCGGTGACAGTGCCACGGCGAAGGAGTTCCGTCGGTACCAGGCTGCCGGTGACCTCGTTGGGGCTGTTGACCCCAAGGAGTGGGCTTACCCTCCTGTTGCTGACCTTGTTGAGGATCATAGCGTCGGGGAGGTTGTCCAAGTCGCGACACCACTAGTTCCGAAGACGTCTATCAATGCCAGTAACACTGTGGGTGCTGTATCAAAGTGGGCAAAGAAATTTTGGCCGCAGGAGTATATCTAGTCACTTCCATATGGATCATGGGAACCCAATTTGGGGTTTGATAAGTTTTTGTATTTAGGATAGGTGGAGTCTCGATAATTCAACTTTCGTATTGACGTACTTCCGCTTCGCGACAGAATTTCAAGCGAATCTACTTGGGTCTCATTAGCTGTCACATGGCATTGTTTTCTCAAAGAGGTGGACCCTGACAATTTTTTTGGTAGTCTTGTGCAAGCTCAAGCTACTCACGTACAGCTTTTTGTAACGTCATGCTTGAAGTATCACCGCAAGTTTGGTTTTCCCTCTTGATTACAGTATATGCTCAGTTTACTATGATCTATTCGGTCAGATAATCTGACGGCGAGACATGTTTAACCATATTTCATCGAATCATAAGTTATTGGAAGTTCAACCCATCTCGAACCTCCTTTGCAAGCCCAGGAGCACGAGGAAACAATATCGACGAAAGAAAGCGACCGGGACAACTAAATTGAGACAGCGATCTAAACAAGCAAAATTAATGTACAGTTTCTGCGCTGTCATATCAGAGCTTCTGCTAGTTTTTCTGGTCTTCAAGGAGTGTCCTAAACATTGTTCAGAAAGATTAGACATCGACACCTCCGCAGAACCAACATTATCTTAGGACCTCAGCTTGCGTGTAACCATCACCTCGACCTCACCCTGTCCTTCGCCCTTATCCTTCTCGAGCTTGGGTTGCCCGATGATCAAGACGTTATGGACCTGAACGTCGACAATCGAAGTGTTCACCAAATCCATATCGAAGTTACGAAGAACGCGGGTGAATGTCAGATACAGCTCGGCGTGGGCTAAGCTGGATATCGATGGTCATTAGAGTTATGCGACGAAAGACAGGACTAATGGTTGCTTTCACTAACCCGATGCCAAGGCACTGACGGGAGCCCTTGGTGAAACTCGTGAGGTACCTCTCGAGAGGAAACCCTGCCTTAGCCGCCTCTACCCAGCGGTCTGGGTTGAATGTGAAGGGGTCCACGAAGCACTTGGCATTAGTGTGCACAAAATACGTCGACTGACTTACAGGCGTCTGTGTTTTGTCTTAGAAAATATGCTCGAAAGCTCAGAAAGATTATATAATTACTTACACCAGGAGGAATGGCATGGTCCTTGTACTGAAGCGTCTCGTGGGTGAAGACCCGTGGAAGACGGGTGATGGGTCCGTAAGAGAGGCGGATAGCTTCTTTCACAATGCCAGTCTAAGACTTCGGTTAGTTGACGGAAAGTCTTCGGCTGCGTGCGCCATTAGTAAACAGGGAAGTATATTTACCATGAAGGGCAGTGTCTCGAGATCCTTCATTGTGAGCTCTTCGTCGGGGATGTGGTCCAATTTGGAGAGCTCATCGAGGGCTTTGGTGACAAGAGACTTGTCAGCGAGTAGGTAGAACATGCCCACAGCGAGCGATCTCGATGATGTCTCTGTTCCAGCGAATATAATGACCTGGCCTTCATCTACAAGACGCTCCATGGTGCGTTCCTGTGCAGGAACGTGCGAGTTGCCGAGGGCCTCAATTATGATTGATTTGGACTGAAGACTATTATTCTCGCTGGCGAGCTTGTTCTTGATGTTGATTTTAATGTCTTCTTGCAGAAGCAGGAGCTCCGCGACGGGTGGTAGGACCAGACGGATAACTGGGATCGGCAGCTTCTTGAGGTATTTGATGGCCCAGGGCACAAAGCGAGTCCAGTGGAAGATTTCCGAAACACCCTTGAAGGCCTCACGAATGGGCGAAACCAGGCTGGGGATGCTGAGGTAGTCGTAGTGGTAGCCGAAGAAGCGTTGGGTGATGATGTCTGCCGTCATGGCGGAAAACGCGAGGTCCAGCGAGATTTTGGCGCCCTCCTTGCGAGCACCGTCGAGGCGGTTCAGCATGGCCGTGATACGTTCATGAATCTGGGGCTCCATGGAAACGATGGACCGCTTTGCGAAGTAGGGGTTCATATAGCCGCGGCGTGAACGGTGCTGGGCGTGGTTCACGGTGGCTGCTACGGATGCTGGGACACCAAAACCGGCTACGGTAGACGAGTCCTTGTTGATGCGATGAGTGCCGCCGACATAAACGTTTTGATAGTATTCCGGGTCGTCAATGTGAACTTCGTTGGGGTTGATGCGAACAATTGGGCCTTGATCAGTAACAATCAGCAATCTGCGCAAGAGACCGCCCGTTGACGTCTGCTGGTAAGAGGAGTGAAATGAATTGGGCTTACCGTATTTCTCATGCATCTTCTGGATCTCCCAAAGGTAGTTGCCGTTCTTGACGGCATCGTACCAAAAGTCGCAGAGCGGCGTCATGGCAGCTAGCCATGGACCGGGGATTTTAGAAAGAGGATGAAAGTAGAAGTTGTAAATACATCGTAGAACAACGTAGCCTGTCCAAATAAAGAACAAGCGGCGGGCCAACTCGCCACGATTAGTCTCGCCTAGATTGCCCAGTGACCAAAGAAAATCTGCCTTTGGGAAGATGCCTACCAGCGAGGAAATTGTGTTGTTAGGCTCCTTGATGACAGCAGCATCCGTGGCCAGAGTGTTGATCAAAACCTCTATGTTAGACATTTCGAGGAGGGCAATGGGTCAAAAGCTATTTCTATATGAGAATGAGAAAGAAAAACCTTATGAAAGGAAACAATTTCTCAGGGCAAACGACTGGTTTTATTGCCAGGCACTTACCTACACATGAGCCACATCTCGGCGTCAAGGTAAAACCCGTAAACCTACCATTATGCTCGCCAGTCAAGTTCGAGGGACCACGCTTCACGGCGTTCGTTGTCATTTTCGGCTCGCTGGTTTCCATCACACGATCCCCCAGTACAACTGTTGTTCGACACCCAGTCACCCTCATCTGGCGCAGGACTTCGTTTCCGATCACACTGCACCACCGAGGCTTACCCCTCTTTTCCGTCTGCTAAATCATGTCCCGGGGTGAAGCTTGGCTTCATCTTTCTCCACGTATTCTGTTATTCTCATTGGCTAACTTAGCATGGCGTTAACATTGTTTTTTTCTGCCTGCGATAATGAGTCCGAAGGCATTTACGCGAAAGGCCGTTTTCCCGAAAGCCTACCAGGCAGGACAGGAAATGATTGGAGGAACAACCATTTACGTTACAAGATCCGTGAAAGACCCGATTTCACCTGCCACCTAACAATGTCCGCCTCCTCGTTTGCGACGAAATGGCTTAGAGGCCGCGCTTACAGATCCCGTACGCCTATGAGATCTTGCCCACCATCCTTCTGAATGCGTGTAAGCCGCGGAAGTGAGCTTTTGGGCCAAAGCCGTAGACTTTGCTTACAATTTCCCGCACATGCACATGTGTAGAGGGGCATGCAGTCTCATCCCTGCATCGCGAGACTTCAGCCGCTGTATCTCCATCCGTCTTGAGGTCCAGGCTGTTTCCGAAGCACATCAATAAAGCGAGCGGGATCTGGGCCTCAAGATAGGCTTTCTTGCTTACCTGCATCTGAAGTATCTGTTTGGTAGTGATACTTGTGAGAGCAGAATCTTGCATGGTTCATGTAGATACTCGGAAAGTGAGATGCCTGCCCGTGTCCGAAGTCCCTGCATACTATGTCGCGGCTAAGAGGATTCACCCCCTGCCGCGTAGAAATAACGGTCCCTGTATACAAACGTTCCTTCATGCATTGTAACCGCGGTCACAACACCGACATACCTTACCGATGGCTGGAACATTGCGACGTCGCTCCTTGAGGGACAGATAGCTGTACGCCTCCTCAAATCGTAAGCTTGCAGGGCTTCACATACATCTTGTAAGCCGAGCAATCGAATCTAGGCCCTCGGAACATGTGCAATTCTGTGCCGTCGCTAGCCCTATGCAGGCTAACAAAACGGTCATAACCGGTATAGTATGTGAGGGTGTGTCTACATGTAATCTTCACCGCGGCACCGCGGCACCTCTCCCCCTTGCTCCCCTTCCCCTGCCCTGGCAGACGATACGTACGGGACGACCCGCAATGGACAATCCCCCGGCGTTCTAGACTCTAAAATACGGGTACGGAGTACACGTATCCCAAGTCAGCTCCCATACACGAATTGTATTCCAACCCCAGGAGTGTTTGTGACATTGAATAACTCTTCATGGCGAACACAGTGCGGGCAACGGGCCAAGCAAACAACCAACAAGATAAGCACCAACCGTAAATCAAGCCTTTGCCGAGCTAATCAAACGTGATGCTCAAAGATTGGACTTGATCTAGACTCTAGGACCCCTACATTCTGCAAAAGACCCACAAATTTGCATCATCTGGATACGATATGACCTTCCGCATTCGCGTTTCCGTCCCCTGTATGAACATGAATCATCTTTGATGCATCGTAAGCGAAAGCGCTGTGCCGTTACACCTGTTACGGTGATGGATTTCATCCAACTGTTATCTAGGCTGTCTGGTGGCCTTTCAATTGTCCAAAAAACCCCTTTCCAATAGACGTCGCGCAACTTCCTTTCCTATCTGTTTTCTCTACGGCTGTGGTTGGATTTCTTTGCCAACAACTGGGCTTCTACCCACCAACCTTATTCGGCAAAAAGTCCTCTATTTTGTTCACAAGGAACTTCGGCGAGAACGGTCGCAAGTACTTGCGTGAACGTCCTAGATGGCAGACCTCGGAGACAAGTCGGCCCCCCCTGCCACGCTCGCCAAGACAGACACCACCGTCAACTCCAAAAACAGCGCACCAGGCCAGGTCGATACTAGGACAAGGGATAAGGACCAAATTGACGATGGCAAAGCCAAAGACAGTAAAAAGAAGAATCCCGGGTCGCTCCACTTCTTCTTCCGCGTGCACTGGTCTTACTCGACATCGCTGGATCACGCCCTCCGGCTCATCGGCCTGATTGCTGCTATCGCCTCCGGTATTCTACCGCCACTGATGACGGTGGTGTTTGGCTCCTCTGTGAATCAGTTCAATGATTATGAAAATGGCAGTATTTCGGGACAGGACCTCTACCGCAACATGTCCAAGAACGCCCTTTGGCTGCTCTATCTCTTCATCGGCCGCTTCTTTCTCGTCTACGTGCATTCCACGTGCTTCGGTCTTGTGGG